ACACGCCTAAGCAGCAGGCAACAACATACATTGCTCTTACTGCACCTGAAGGCCCACCAGAGCCTTGCTGGCTTCACCAGAAGCAAAGCCAGCCCCATGTGTTTTCAATGACTGCAGACACAGGCTGCGAGCTTGAGTCCTACACAACAGCAGGAGGTTTATTGAAGTCAAATTAAGCCACCTTCATGCTTTAGGCTGCTATACTTGCCTCCAATCCTCCTGTTTCCCTAAATTATCTTTAAGCAGTTTCTTGTATCCTTATAGGATACAAACCCTCTGTAGATTTCCAGTATCTTCTTGTGGTGAGCTATCAGCTATCAAGCTGGCCTTTGTTTACATTTATTACTCAGCGGCAGCCAATTGTATCTGTACCTAAGCAAAGCAAAATGCCTAAACCTAGCAGAAGTTTCACTAGTCCCAGGGCTTGCTCTCTTAAATCTACTTCTCTGGAGAGGACATCTGCCCAGCAAACAGAAAAAATCATCAGCTGCAAGATGGGAATGGTACATGTGGGCTATGAGGAAGCATAGGCACATACTAGCTACAGCAGGGGCTGCTAGATGATGAAGGTGTACCCATTCGGGTCAGTTAACACATCCATTGCAGTGTCATCTGTGGTGGGTGACAAGGTGAGAGAGTACTTCCACCCCAGTTGATGAGCAGAGGTGCTAGGGATATGCTGGTATAAGGTTTTCCATCACCTCTTTCCTCTCTTATGCCCACAGCTGGCAGGACTTTGCTGTTTGGCATTCAGCCTTTAGGTATCTCCAGGTGTTCCTGTCTAGCCCTTAGTAAACAGAGGGGAGCATGTTAGTACTCACTGACAGAGAAATCTATTAGTGCCAATGTTTATTAACTTCAATAAATCCATGCCAAGAAAATGCAATCACCTTTTCCATGAGTGTCAGATATGCCTAAGCTACATGAGTAGATCTAACCATCCTTTAAGATGCAGAGGGACACTCGAGGGGTATATATTCAATTGACTTCAAAGAACCTTTGAGTGCTCAGCAACTTGCAAGATATTTGTTTATAGAAATAATCACTGAGAAGCAAAGTGTACATGGCACTTTTTCTGCATTTCCCATTCACTTTTACCTCTAACAATAAATCACTGAAGAGACTCAACATGGAATGCCTTAGCATAATGCTCATCTAGAAATATCTTTGCTTTATAAACTCTGATTAATATTCATTCACTCCAACATAAAGACAGCTAAAAATGTTGGAGAGAATAAAACTATTTTCAGCATTCCTGACACTTCCCATTATTAACAAACAGCTAATCTTATAATGGTAAAGTCAGAGGAATAATTCCTCTACTAGATATGATTGACTAGACATGAAAGATGGTGTTTCTATTACTTTCTGACTTTATGTCATTTTAAAAGAGGCTTCATCTAATGCAGCCCAGGCTGTGTTTTGAGTTTTAACCTTTCAGATAAGCAAACCCTCTTTCATCAGGTTAATAGATTCTTACTTGATTCAGGAAGGCAATTTTCCTTAAAGTTATTCTAATCAAGTGCTTGGAGCCCAAATTGTCCAATTGGCTGATTGGCTGCCAGCAATGGCTAAATCTTTCTACTAAGGACCATATTTATTTTCAAAGAGGGAAAACAAGGTTTTATTATTATTATTACAGAACCAATTCTGTCCTGTATTCAGTGACTTTTCAAATACTAGCTTTTACTGCAGTCACAGAATTAAAGATAAAAGTTAATGCAACCTTCCTCTTACTAGTTTTATTAAATAACAGGAAGAAAAGGAAAATCAGAGAGAGATGGTTTGATGTCTATTGATAACCCCTCAATTAACTGCTACTATGGTGATAGCATGTGATCCTAATCAGCACAGACCCCTTTAAACACAGGTTTACCGCGCTCTGTCTTCCTGAATCAGCCTCCAGATTGAGGACTGTCAGCCCAGTTTGCCACCAGACTGGGAAGAAGTGACAAAGGAGTCCCCACCTTCTAGAAGAAAAGCTTTGAAGGAAAATTAGTGCCTCAAGGATACTCCCTACAAGTCCCACCTCTAGCATAGCATCTGGCTCCACAAGGACAGTTTGGTGCTATGGCTGCTTGGGAGCACACCCACAGCCCATATAGAGATAGGGGTCATGGTATCCTGTTGCCTTGGTCAACTCAAGTCACTCCAGGCAGAAACCCTACCAGCTGTGGGACTGTCCAGACTACCAGAAGAAGCAGCTGGGAGGTCTGACATCTCCTGCAAGACTGGTCTGGCAATTGAGCCAGTGTAAGGACAAGGAGAAAGAGAAATCATTCCAAGGCTGTGCAGAAAACCAGCCACAGAAACAAGAACTAGGCCCACAACTCCTGAAAGATCGTTCAGCCAGTGCTTTTACTTCTCAACACACTATCTTTTCACACAGCCTCACAAGCAGGATTGGAAGCCCTTATGTCCCATCATATATTCAATACTGTATTTCCACCTCCAGAAAATTTGACCTCAGGAGCCTCAGCCAGGGTTTGCAGGCCAAGCAAAGTGAGTTATTTAACACAAAAAAATTTCCTTGCCATTTTCTGAGCAGCTGAGCTGTTTTCCTAACAGCTCTGATGAAGTTATTGATGCCTCAAATGAAATGTTCATTCTCAATGGCTTTTATCTACCAGCCCCCAGATTTTTAGGGTTTAGTCAGTCAGAGTATTACATTGTAATACCAAGGCAAGCATCTTTAAAACGGTGATTATTCTGCAGGAACAACAAAGATGCTGGAGAACACATTAACTCTTTCATTCCTCAGGGCTACAAGGCAATAAGAGGTTGTCAAACTGCAATATCAGGGAAACCTAGAAGCTTATATTCTTTCTCTCTTTATGATACAAACTAGTCCTTCAAATATGCTTCAGTTGTGCTCATAAGCCAAAAAAAAAAAAAGCCAGCAAAGACCCTAGAATTCCTGTCTACTAAGAACTCATAGCATTTGCATTCAAGGATAGCATGCATTGATGGCAGCATAGCAAACTCAACCAGGAGTACAACAGGATAAGAAAAAGCAGTTCTTACATATGTTGCAATCATGCTACAACAGCACTGTTGTGCTACTCATAGACCTGAAAAAACAAATACTAGCCCCTGTGCCATGAAGCCAATGCTTCATCCTCAAGGAGTATTCAACAAATCCTTCCCCCCCAGTAATGCTACCCAGATAGAGTAGTAGGACATGCTGTCTTTTAAACTGCCTTACATGCTCACCACTCCAGTGCAGCTCAGCTGGGTCCACAGATGTATCTTACTAAATTAATTATCCCATAATCACTTGGTAAAGACTCAAACCTCATTAACTCACACTTTTCCTCATCTCAAATTGAGCTCTTCCTATGCTTGGTATTGAAGATAATTTATCATCTGTTTCTGAAGTCTCCTTAAAATACAGAAAGGCTTTATCCATACCTTGAAACAGTCACTCAAATTTTCTGCTTAGCTTAAAGCTGAGATTTGGGTGCACAGGAGAAACCCAGACACACGGGTGGGCATTTCAAAGGAAAGCAAGGGAAAGTCTCATAAGATTTCCACCATTGTGAAATCTCACAAGATCAATCATTCGTAGCATGTTGAAGAACTCATTTAGAGGCAAAAGCATCTGATAGAATTTGACTTTTTAAGACCTCTGGCCTCCTTTGGATTGGAGAGGGGATATCCAACATAAACTATTCCATGGTGTCCTCCAGGTTTGGAAGTCAGGTGGAAAAGGTGTGTTTGAATCAGAGGCTCCCAAACTAAAGTCAGAAGGTGTGGCTGGGCTCAGGCTCAAGGATTAAAAGTTCCCAAGCTTTCGAAAATCTCTTTGTTTCAGATCCTCTCATATAGTCTTTCACATTTAAAATAGCATGCTTCAGGAGAGGCAGCCTTTTAAAACAGAGCTCTCCTCAAATATCGTCAGAAGGTTGATTGCAGACACCCTTGTGCTCAGAGCAAGAACCACCAGAAATTGTTCAGGCAGGGGATCAATAGAGGAGCATAATTTAAAAAACATGTTACTTGTGGAGACAGCCTCCAGGGACAGACCTCAAACTGTCCCCAAGGTTAAACAATCCCAGAAGAAGCAGGCATCTGTCTCTGTTAATTACTGCTGGGAAACAAGGCAGCAGGAGGAAAATACAAGCTTGATTCTTACGAGGTCTCATCTGCTACACCGGTTTTTAAATGACCAGCACATGGTGGAGAAAATTTGTCCCTGGGCCTGATGAAAAGGCCCATAAAATGGGTGAATGGACCATAAGTAAAATTCACCCTCGTCCAGTTTCCAGTGTCTGGGAACAGCTGACTCCGGCTGCTTTGGAGAGAACTGCAAAGAGGCTCCCCAGATATCAGATAAGCTGCCCCAGTGGGTTTCTCATTGCCTTCATTGAGTGTTGGGTCAGAACCCCATTCACAGAAGTGTCTGTGATTAGCTAGTTCTGCCCAAGGGCTTATTCACAGTTAATCCAAACCAAGTTCATTCATGAAACTGGCTGGAAATCTCATCAGAACAGGCTTTGCAGAGAGATTTCTGTCACTTTTCCTTCCAGCACTGGCTGAAAATAGACCAAAAAGAGACTCCAGCCTCCTCAGAGTTATTTTGCCAGATCTGGAGATGGGTGATTAATTAATTGAGCTTGCTCAATTTCTGACTTTTGCTTTTTACTCTTATAAACAAAGATGGTTTATTTGGTTTATCAGAACTATTTGTCAGGTAGTTTCTGCAAACAATTTCAGGTACTTTGGCAGCATTAGTGATCTGCAATATGTGGAGGCACAACAGGACACACAGGCTACACTGTACACTTCAGTTTCTCACCTGGATGAGCACACACCTTAGAAAGAGGTTCACAGAGCAGGTTGCACAGCTCTCATTGTGAAGCTCTTTCATGGATATTCTGGACAATTGCTTCAAATCAGCCCACTCCCTCAAACATTCCTCACACAATATCTGTTTGCTCGAGCACTCCTAGCCAGGGAATGCGGAAAGAACAGGAACACAACCAAAGCACATTACTCACGGAAATATCTGCAGCAAGTCCCAATGGATCGTGTCAGTGGAGTGTCCCCAGACGGACAGACTTCCATGGGGGAAAAAGTGAAGTGAGTCAATACAAAATAAGAGAGCACTATCAAATGTTTAAATTTCAGGACGTGTCTTGAGATGAATGCAGGGAATGAATATAATGTTATTTCTTCTTTTACCCACAGCAGCACTTATATACCACAGTGACATACAGAGAATAAATGGTGAAACAAGCTCTTGGCCTCGGAATAACGTTGTTCTGTTTGTGTCCCCAAAGGCTCTCAGTTAATCCTCGTCTGTGGGTTTGGCCAGAGAAATGTACTGGTGAGCCTTCTGTCTCCGATTTCTGTATGCAAACTTACTCCTTCTTGAGGATTCATTAACTCTTTAATTCACCATTCATGCATTTCAGGGTAGTCTTTTGTATTTTCTGTACCACTCAGTACACTTGTAAGTGCAGAGCTATTGGTGAGGTCTCTTTCCAACTTACACGAGTTCCAGAGCAGGACTCCTCTGCTCTGAAGCAGCTGATCCTACAGGGAGGACAGACAGCTAAATGAGGAATCATGTTGGAGCTAGCTTGGTCAGATCTGGTCTCTCTCAGGCCTACAGCTTCCTCCTTTTTTCACATCCCCTGTTGGGGAATGCAAAACAACTTATAGGATTTGTTTGCATTAAGCCAATTTACGAAAAGTTATCAGCAATCAGAATTGATGCCATATGTTTTCAAGAGTTAGTATTCAGTTTAATGCCTAAAATTAGATTTGGGCTTTGGTGTATGGCAAGCAGGAAGGAAACCCACTGTACTGACTAATCAGCTTCTCCAAAAAGCCAGTCCTCCTGTGAGTGCTGAACACTCCTTCAGGCCCCCACTTTCTACACATGCAAGAATCACTTTGCCATTCAAGGGCAACTTGCAGTGAAATAGGAGAAGCAGGCAGGTACAGTTGTATTCCTAAGGCAAAATAACCTGTGTTCTTTAATTGCCCAGGAGAGAAAAGTTTTCACTTTCTTCAGCCTTGACTTCATAATCCATTGTAAAACTGCAGTGCATCACACAAGTAGCTCAAGGGCACCAGAATCTCCCTCCCAGTTCAGGCACAGAGTTCCAGACAATGCAATCATTTCTGCCCAAACATTCAGGTTGCTAAAACACCTGCAGCAAGTTAGTTGTTAAATAAGGCTGATTGATGAGCAGTCTACTGATCATTTTAGAACACATAACTAGACATTCAAGATGTTTGTGACAGAATAATTCAGAGCATAAGAAGGTAAAATGCCATTGCATCCTTTGAGATTAAGAGCCTGGTTCTCTTCTCATCTATGCTCTGCCTTGTCTGTGGTGCTAAACCTGTTGTAAAATGGTTTGATAGGAGGAATCTCCTCCTTGGTGTTGGCAGGAGTGAAGACATCTGGGTCCACAGATCTCAGTCCCACCTGGATGCTCAGGAAACCCACCTCATTCCAGCAGTGAGGACCCTGCAAATCCTTGGGGTCTGGGAGACTGCAGGCTCTCCAGCATGAAGGCAGGAGCCTGAAAGCCTCACAACAAGCTTTCAGTTCCCACTGCTGCTCCTGGCTGGGAATCCCAGACTTCTGGGCTCTTCTACACACCTATATAGCCCTGAGTCTCTCAAGGCATGTGAACTGCCCTTCAGACCCCAGTAACTAGCATCAAAGCTACATATGCTGGGTCATGGATATAGAGCCCTTCTCAGGACAGCAGAGAGAGAAAATGAGGTATGTAAAGGCAGACTTTCAGGCACTGATGACTGTGAGGTCACGAACGAGAGGAAAAAAAAAGCAATACAACATGAGGGGAGCTCAATTTGCAATAAAAATCATGGGTAGAGATATAAAAAGCTTTATAAAATATAAATTCTGCCTCAGAATTCATGCATGGGAAGAAATCTGTCAAGGCAAACATGCCTCAAGCAAACACCACCTGGGAAATGCTGAGGCAGTTCTACTGCCCAGTCACCTCAGCATATGAATACATCAGGTCACTGAAAACAGGGCTGGACAACACTTGAGTTTATGAAAAAGTCAAGACTATTTCCAACCAGCTGCACTTTATGTGGAGCAGCCCCAGCTCATCACATCTGTCTGCCCCTAATGCTCCATCCCTATGGGATTTCAGAACAGCTACTTGGACTAGAGGCAGTAAAAACAAATAAATCTGTGGTTTTCAAAAGGGCTGTGTAGGAAACTTGTAGTGTGTAAGTCCAGAATAAACAGGAGACTGTAGAAAAAACTGTCTGGTGGTTGCCACACAGAAATAAACCCTGGGGACAAAGAAATCACATACGGCAACCAAGGAAGGAAGAAATTATCTTAGTTGAGACTGAAAAGAGACCTTGCTGAGACACTGCAGTGGGAATGAGCGTAAGGGATCTAGCTACAAGTTTGTGTGGTGAGAATGAGGCTGAGGACATTGTCTCTTGACCTGGTTGGAGATAGCACTGCTGCCAAATGCTCTCACATTTTTCTGTTGTACCCGCAGCCAGAGAGACAAGCCGGAAGCAGTTCATCCAGTCTGTCCCCACACCAGTGAAGAAACAGGGATTCAGTGCAGAAAGTTGACACCTAGGCACAAACACCTTCCTCAAGCCCCTCATGTCACCAGGGTGGAAGATGAAACATTGCTAATGAAAACAGAATGTTTTGGTTTCAAAATGATCACAGGGAGTCAACAGCTGCTCGAACAAACAGCCTATTTCATGAGAATCTAGCAAGGGAATAATTTAATGGAGCTCAGATAAAAGGTAGTCACCTGGAACTCAGATTTAGAAATAATTGCTTTTTTTTTTTTCTCTAAATTACCGGTTTGGAGGTTAAGCAAGGAATATTCATCTGACTGCACTTTTCTTGCACACTTTCCCTGATCTGTGCAGTAATGAACTTTAAACTGTGCAGGGAAATGCTTTCATTCCCTCCCCACAACTCACAAGGAGAAAGTTCTTTATTAAAAACTAATGATTGATTCTCTTTTTCAAAATTAGCACTTGTAAATTCGGGGGCAAATTCAACCTTGCAATAAATAGGAGCAATTCCCTTCGCACTGATTAGGGGCTCCTCCTTCTTGAAAAATCCCAAGGGCCTCTTAAATTGACTGTCTTGATTAAAGATGGGTTTAGCTTTAATTGAGTAATTGGTGTGGTTTGTTATCATTGGTTACAGCAGAGATTTCCTCTCCTTGTACCTTGGCCAGACAGGGCTGCTTTCTTCATCTGATGAACTTTCTTCATCTCAGTTCAACCTTCCTCAGGCTGAATTTTTCAAACAATTACATACGAATATGTATACATCCAGGTATTTTAATATGCCAGCATTGGAGCAGGCATCATGCCGCCCAGTGGCAGGTCACACACCAGGCTGAAGTTGTGGCATGGCATATGTGGCTGTGGAAGACAAGAGGAGCACACAGGACTAGATCCACACATATAGCACCACTGATTTCAGTGGGTTGTCACCAATAAGGCAATTCTGTGTTCTAGGGACACAGAGCTGGAGCAAAGTCTAGCTAAAACCCGGCACATGCTGTAAGAAGTGAATAGATTTACTGTGGTGCTAAGCTGTTAGGTGGCTCGGACTATGGTGTCCAACATTATTAGTCATGTAGCTACAAGACCTAGTATGAGGGGAGACTTACCTGAGGGTAAAACTCAAGAACACACATTTTCTTAAAGCCCTTTATAGAGAATTGGAATCAACTGCCAGTGAATGAATAGTTAATGTCTTTGCTTGCTATAAAACATGTGGATGCACATCTCAGTCTGGTGTCTCATTATCAAATGAGACACTGCTTTATGAGGCTTCTTACTGCGATTTCCAGACTAAAACCAAACACAGAATTAACCAGCATTTAAAAATTAGCTAGAAACTAGGAAAAACTAGTTCTGGGGTTAATCTTATGTCCAGTGGTAAACTCCTTGCTACCATTTAGCATTTGAGAGTGAAATTCCCCAAATTTGCAGCTCCACAAAAGCTCTTTTAATTGAATCAAGCAGATTTACCAACTGGTGGAAAAATGGGGTCTTTTAGAGGCAAGGAATTGAGAAGATTGTCTTTATGTAAGAAATGAGAGAGAGAATAATGTTTCAAAATTACTCAAACATGTAATTTCAAATATTTTAGTTGTTATAGTTTAAAAAAGCTGCAAACACGTAGCAAAAGCTCACAATTAGAACATGTAAAAAATATTTTCACTGACTTGAAGCCCTGTTTTTCATGTTTTCATAATCTCAAAATGCAGGCAGCATGTTCTACTTCAGGACAGGAAGATTCCTAAACCTCAGACATGCTAAATCTCAGACACCATGCACATCTCTGACTCTGTAAGACCATTACATTCCCAGATCTTCTAGAGCTGAAGAAAACTGCATTGCCAGTGCACTCTTCTGCAGCTTCTCCACCTTGCTAATGGTGGGCTGGCACAGACAAAGCACATGCAATGAGGCAGGTTATTGCCAATGAATGGCAATACAGGTTTACAATTCCTCGCTGCTTCTTTAGTAAACATGGCTCATTTACCAGCCAGCAAAGGAGGACAAGCTCTGGGGTTGAGTTTGCTGTTAGGGATGGGCAGAGAGAAAAGAATGGCTATGTGTCACCCACATGGGCCACATTTGCCCCATCTATCCATGCTATCCAGCCCTCCCTTACTGGGCAGACTCTCAGATACCTCAGCTACATGCTGGTTGCCAGAACAAACTTCTCCATGGGGAGGGCACTCACCCCTGAAACTGAAGCTACGGGCACCAAGAAAATGCATATGTGACAGATATTATAACTGTGCCAGACACTGTGGATTCAGGTGGATTTACATGAGGAAGGAGCCCAGCTCATTCTAGCTCGAAAGCAACCACATCAGGGGAGAGCCATTGCTTACAGTGACTAAATCCTGTTCTATAGTCATGCTATTGGGGTACTCAGCCCCTCACTCTTTACAACAGATCCCAGTGGTGCAGAGATATGCCAGATGATGGTTAGCCCCTTTTATGCAGAACAGATGACTCCAGCCATGCCAATGAAAGCTGTAGCTGCTTTGTAAATCTGTGGCAGCTTGTATTGATGTGTAACAAGCAAAGGCCAGCCCAATGGCAAGATGGCCAAACACAGCTTAGACAGCAGTTAGAAGCTCATTCTTCTCCATCAGAGGCTGGGTGGATGGCCTGGAAAGGGACAACTCTGCATCACTTAACATCTTGCTGTAGTGTAAGTGACAAAGTGCTTTCTTCAGCAAAAGACCCATTGAAAGTTAC